CGGTTTGTCACGAAATTGCTCATTGTAAGCCTGAGACAGTGTTCATCATGGAGACATTTTCTCGTTTAAAAACAAATCTCTGCCTCCTGGGTTTCTGCTAGGGGATGCTAAGTTCAAACTTGTCTTATCAGTTCTCTGGTCAAGTTCTGGTCATTTTCGAACCACTTCCTTTATCTCAGGTTTAAGCTATTTTCTTTGGCAGCTCCCAAAAAAACAAACTGTCATTGTAACCAAAACACTCTAGTCCTTTATGAGTTTTTAGTCAGGGTAGTACATATGGAAAATTGCTCCCTGACTTATCACAGGCTTCATCATTTTTAGATAAAATCTCAGTTTATTTCCATTTCAAATGTGATGTCATATAGATTTATATTAGCAGTTTAGTGGTACCACCTTTTGTAAGTTATGTATAAATCTTTATTCAACAAGATAGGTGTACGGAGAACATACTCTCATTTGCAGTGATGACCCGGCCAAGAAGCTTATTCCAGTTTTGTGCAGAAAGAACAGTTGCAAAGAAAGTTGGGATGGGTAGATATTTGAACTAGTATACACCCAGAGAAGCAATGACACTTGTTGAGATAAAGGAAACCATGCCTTAAATTGACTTTAGGTGGAAGTTAAAAATCCATCCTTCCACTTTCTAATCTCTTCTTCAAATTCTGGGGGAGCTGGAGTCTATCCTGGGAAGCAACACCCACAAGGAGGACACCAGGCCATTGTCAGGTAAATTATTAATATAAGTTTGAAATGTTAAAGAAATACAAAATTCTGCTTAAATATTTAGAAATCATGGTGTAGCTTTATCGGTTATTGTTGGTCCTGGCACCAGGTGGGGTACAATCTATTTAATATATCCACAATACTGTCCATACTGAGCAAGGTGATGTGGCTTCTTTAATTTTCTGTGAACAACTGTGAATCCACTTGTTTTCAAAAAATAAATACAATGTATGTTGTCTCCACTCATTTAAGTTTACTATCCAATTGTATTAATTCAGCCATGTAAGCACACATCTGTGCCCAGATATCCTCCACTAGGTTCCAAGTTTAGAAACAACAGAATGATCAATACCATTATAGCAGATACCGCGGTGCATGTTATATTCTTTAAAGCATGGTAAAAAATGTGTGATCATTATCAAGGGAGCACTTTGACTTGTTTTAATTGACTGGCATGAATCTTGTTTCATTAGGGTGTAGCAGAAGATGCACTTTCCAGAGCGCTTGCTGAATTTTTTTCAAAATTAAGATGAAAACCAGTAAATTCCTATGTACCGTGTCCTGTGGAGTAGTATGGGAGAGAGAGAATTGGATTTGAGAGTTAACAACTGCTAAGGAAATTTGATTAATTTTTAAAATATTGTTAATATACAATATACGATATTAACATAATACAGTAGTGCCTAGAACAGAACTTGGTGAAATTACATTTTTGTGCTAATCCCCACTTCTGATTGCTGTTGCTACTGTCCACTGTTTTAATGATAGAAAAAACACTTTATACTCCTTACAACTCTCAGCATGTACTGTACATCAAGAAAGACTGATAACTGCTAGAAAAACAGTATACAGAGTGCACTGCACAGCCTGACGTTTTTGCTAGTAAGTTTTACCCAATTTTGGAAGGGCACCTAAAAAAGAGACCAGGCAAAAGTTCTCATTTCAATGTTTTCCTGCACTGAAACCCAGGAAAAGAGCCCAAGACAGCAGAAAAACACAGTGTTCACTCAAATTGGATGAATTGCCAGAGACCAGTGCCAAGTACCCAGATGATCCATTTTTGGCTGTACACTATTTTGCTTTCTTTTTATCCGCCACTAGTCGATTGCAATAGAAACAATTTGGTTTCTATTTCCAGTCATTTCATAAGATAAGTCTCTTATTAACAATGGATTTTGTTTTCACAGCGACACAGATGGTAGAAGAGAATTAGCGCTGGCCCTGGGGGTAAGTAGAGCAAACGGGTGGTTGCTGAAGAGCAGAAAAAACATCAATCTGTTGCTCATATTTTTAGAAAATAGAAATATACTGTATCATACATTATCTCTCAGGAGGAAAATATTATAATCTTTAATGCTGCAATTGCTCCCATGTCAGAGTCCTTATGGTGTTTGTCCCCAGTGCAGCTCATATTTTATTTTTTTCAAATGGAAAAGATCAGCGCATGTCAGACGTGCTTCGAGAAATGGCAGAATGGCTCACCGCTGACTTTGAATATAAGAAACAGAGAAGGCCCTTTTGCTCAGTCGCAGTTGACAAGATTTGTGTTGATCTAGAATGTTAAAATGCCCTTTAACAGTTTTGTTCTGAACGTCATGACAGTTAAAATGATTGAACTGTGTGCTTACCATCTACATTTTTGATTTTCCAGTCTTTGGATAACTTGGAGTTCTAAGATATCCAAAGACTGGGAGGTATCCAAAGAACGGGAGATGGTAAGGGATGAAGTTGAATCTGGAACTTTTGCTACCATCAGCAAAGGTTTCTGGGATTCTCCCACGCAAAAGTAGTTCATTGCTGAAAGGTACTCCTTTGACAGTATTTGGGTATTGTCATTGTCTCTTAATAGAATGAACAGAAACCTGTTCTTCTGACACTTGGTTAAGTATGTTCACTCCTTTAGAAAAGAAGATTCATCAGCTTTTCTAATTCCTCTTCTTTCACCCAAAGGTGCTGGTTCTGCACTGAAAGTCGATTATCTTAGCGTTTTGCATTTTTCTCAAAGGGTAATAATCATGCCCATGTAGATAGCAGCACACAACATGTGCATGAAGTACATGAAGTTATAGCAATTGCTACCATGGTATGAAGGGCTTTCTCAAGTCTCACCCAGCAGAGAGGACATCCAATTCTTCAGCTTCCAGAAAAAATAATAATTTAATAATAATAATTGCTTACACTTATATAGCGCTTTTCTGGACACTCCACCCAAAGCACTTTACAGGTAATGGGGACTCCCCTCCACCACCAATGTGCAACATCCACCTGGATGATGCGACGGCAGCCATAGTGCGCCAGAACGTTCACCACACATCAGATATCAGTGGGGAGGAGAGCAGAGTAATGTAGACAATTCATAGAGGGGGATTATTAGGAGGCCATGATTGGTAAGGGCCAATGGGAAATTTGGCCAGGACGCCGGGGTACACCCCTACTCTTTTCAAGAAACGCCCTGGGATTTTTAATGACCACATAGGGTCAGGACCTCGGTTTTACGTCTCATCTGAAGGACGGAGCCTGTTTACAGTTTAGTGTCCCCGTCACTATTCTGGGGCATTAGGACCCACATGGACTGCAGGGTGAACGCCCCCTGCTGGCCCCACTAACACCTCTTACAGCAGCAACCTTAGTTTTTCCCAGGAGGTCTCCCATCCAGGTACTGACCAGGCTCACACCTGCTGAGCTTCAGTGGGCTGCCAGTTGTGAGATGCAGGGTGATATGGCTGCTATACATAGCTCTAACATTATTTTTATAATATTGTAGTTTATTGTAGTTTTGCCTTGTATTTTTTTGGAAGTGTAACAAACACAAAAAACAAACATGATACTGTACAAGTGCTGTAGGTTAATCTCTACAGATAAAACTGAGATTTTAATTTACAGTGTCACTGCAGCTTCTCAATCTGTGTATCTGACAATGAAAAAGGCTTCTTTTTTCTGCTTTTTATAATAATCTGCCAGAGAAAATGCATTTTGGATCCTCTCTTTTTAACTAGTCCACAACTTTCTATCTAATTTTATGAGCATTATACTTACAAGCTGGCTTAATTCACCAGTGGCAGTGCCAGAGAAGGACTGAAGTTAATTTTGAGGGGGCTTAACCATCATTAATGGATCACACTTGTTTTATGATCCAGCTGTGGTGACCTCAGAGGTATAAATAATGAGATCACATTGGGTTCAGCCAGAGGACCAGCAAAGCAAACCCTTATCCCTTAGCTTAGCAGCAAAACCATAATATTGTTCCAGCTGTTGCTCTTACAGTATATCTTTACTGTTACCTGAGCGAAATACAAACAATAGCAGTCTGTTAATTAATAACCATTCTGTTTCTATCTGTAAATGTTAAACTTTTCTCATCACTTCACGACTCTCTGGATTTTGTGATTAGCTGTGATTAATTAACAGAGTGTATAATCTCACAACTCCCCAGTTTTACATTCTCAATGTTCTGTACCCGGGTTAGATCATACTGAATGAGAGAGAGAAACAAATATTTCCAGTATGAAGTACTTTGGAAAGGCTCACCTAGCTAAAGGAATGGCAACTTATCCCAGAGGATCGGCTGCCCGAACACCTCCTCACTATTGCGAGGAATGAACTGGGGAGCTGCTGCAAGGGTGTAGATGGGGAGACGGGGGGATTGGGAAGGGAATCTTGGGTGCAAGACTTATATCCGTAGGCAATAAGGAAGTGCATGAGATTAGGATCTAACCTTCCCCCGAATTTCTGATATAACTTCTGTAATAACTCCACTTTAACTAGGAATAACAACACCCAAGAATTAAGCGCAGGATTATGGAGTGTTTCGCTCAAATTTGGCTTAACCCGCTTGGCTGAAAGCTAAGGAGAGGAGGAGGAGGAGGCTGGGACCCCTGCAGAGTGAGGAGTGACCTGGGGGCAGCTGCAGAGGGGGAGACACACATGACACTCCTCACATGATCTTGGGCAAAAGGCCGAGAGGGCTGTAGAAGTGGAGATGGGGTGGAGGTGTGATGCAAAAAGATGTGTGTGAGGGAGAGAAGGCATCACTTACAGTATTTATAGTGTTTAGGAGAGAAAATGACGTCAGGAGTGTGAATTACTGACGACAGAGTCCAATTGAATTTGACTGTTATCACCCCACCAGCACATTTGTTACAAACTCATTTTATGCAGTACAACATAAAGCTTATAACAGAGATAAATGTATACACACAGAATCTATATTTAAAGTATTTTCTGGTTTGAGAGAAATGTACTTCATTGTATAAAGAAAAACAAAAGAGAAGACACAATCGTGTCCCACTAAATTGTATCTTTATTGAACAGGGATATGATTCATATAAAGCCATCATAATGACACGATTGCAACAAAACCTGTCTGATTAACACTGTCGGCACAGCAACTGCAAGGAGATCATAATTAATAAGCACAGGATTTTTTCCAACTTGGCTTGAAGGAGTTTCATTTGGAATTTTATTTGGAAAAGTACTACACATGAAAATTAGAACTGATCTTTCTTTTCACCCTGTGTCAGTTTGGGTTTTTGCCAGGTGCTCCATTTTCCTGTCACCTACTGAAGACAAGGTGCTAGGTTAGTCTCTAAATTGTCCCTTTGTGGGTGTGGCTGTGTCCCCAGTGGAATCATGGCCCTCCTTGCTCCCTTTGCTTTCTGGGATAGGCTCTTGGCTTTCTGACAATGGGAGACTGAAAATGTTATCTTGCATCAGCATGGAAAAATATTTGTCCATGGTCTGGTTAACACAGGACATCACAAACTGGACAACTACCTCCTGGTCATTGTGCAAAACCTCTGTTAAACGTTTGGAGAAGTTTTTTTGTTGAGTATAGCTGAGAAAGCTGTCAATAAAGTCCACTTATGGAGATCACCTTGGCCTCAGAATGAGTTGTAATGCATGCTTATTTAGCATAGACTGTAATCCTAAAGGCTTTTCTAGCTTCAGTTTGATATGAATCTCCATTTCATTTGATTTGAAATGTGTTTTATTAATCGAAATAGGCCTTTCGTTTTTTAGCACATGTGCCTTTATTTTTTAAACGTTTACAGCATTTGAGACCTACAGTAGAAAGACTTTAGCAAGCCGGTGGGCCAAATGTGTAGCACAGCCATAAATAAGTGATTCTCACAACCTTGGTCAAGTCACACAAAAACACCCGCAATAATGAAAACAACCATTAATTACTGACACCAAAGGAAGGCAGTATTTATCTTGACCTACTGTACGTATTTTAAAATCATTTTAGAATTGAATAGGAATGTTGGGAAATGGAGGAAAATACAGGATGTGCTCTGAAGCCATGTTTAAGATCAGTATTTAAGACAGAAAAATATTTGTACAAACTTACATTTTAAACTGTTTTTGAAAGTTTAAATTCACGCATTAGCTTTTGATAGTAACTCAGTTTCTGCTGGCCCATTAGCATTTTGTGACTTCTTCTTGGGGTTCTTCTTTTTTATCCGGTAAAGGACAACAGCCAGAATGACAGCTGGGAGCAAAAACAGGATATTGTATGTCAAGCACAACATTGTGTTGAAGGAAAATAGAAAATATTTCACTCCAGATTTTTTAACCAACACATTCTTTACAAGAATCTGGTGGGCAACACCAGACCTTTTCTGCAAATGTTGCAAATATTTAAAAAATGCAATTATTTGCACTTTCAAACAGCTGTTTGAAACATTGAGAGTTTAAAATCCGGACCGTTCTTCTTTATTTTCTTTAATACGAAACATGACACTCAGCACTGATCATCCTATTTACTCAATTAACAAATTCCAGCACGATTTAGTTTTTCATGCCACATTAACAGTAAACCAAGCAGAAGATGTCAGAGATTAAAAAACACTTACCTATAAATCCGAGCACTCCTACCAACAAAGCAACTGCTGTCCCTGCATATGCCTTTTCTTTGTGCGCTCCTGGCTCAATGAAGCAATTTCCAAAGTCTGTGCATTTACAAATGTGCACTGACGCATAAAGAAATGACAGACATTTCCATTAGAGAGAATGGAATTCAGTGAAGTACACAGTAAATTCAGTGACATACACAAATTATGCATCTGCAAATTAGTAGTGAGTATGCAGTCATTGCCAGTGGAGCCCCAGGTTTTATCAATAAGGCAGTATTTAGCTTACACATCATACACAAGATGAACAAAAAGGCACCACAGATGGCATTTGCCAAGACACCTGCAGACGGCACAGCAGACAAAACGTTGTCTTTTTTCTTTTCAGCATGGAATTAACCTTTGCTCCTTTCTCATTCTCCAATATATTTTTACCCTGTTCTAGAGCACAGTATCCCATAAAACAGATCCAGGATGGCAGACCGAGGAAACCTTAGCTGCTTGACTCGGATAACCTTGACAGCAGACCCACAGGGGACAGTTTACTTTTAGAATTTATAGAAACTGTTCAAAGTCTCTTATGATTAAAGTACCAAAGAGTCATTGCCTGGAGGAGGGGAACCACTAGGCCTGGGACATCTAGAGGTATATTTTCTCTGACCTGCAAGTTGTATTTCCCCTTCCTCTTTGTCCACATAGCTCACTGTTGCTGTACAGCTCTCTGTGGCAAACTGTTGTGAATGGACACTGAAGCAAATTTAAGAACTGGTTGGACGGTGTAACAGAGCTGCAGTGTCTCAGCTGTTGCTGTAGGTGTGCACTATGGTTGCGCAACTTAGAGACCAGTCAGAGAGGGAACATGTGCAGGAATTCGCACATCGTGGAGAGAGAACTGTAAGATGGGCTACAGCTGTGTTTGATCATTCTCTCTCTCTAAAGGTTCGGCACAGATAATACTGTGTAATAGTGCACACTTATCTGAATAATGCCCTCCACCATTGGTGGGTTTGACGGCTTACATTCTCTTTCATTTCTTTTCATTCCAGCATATATTTAAATTTACGAAAACGTACCTGTAAATGTTTGTGTGTTTTCCCTATCCCCCGCATCTTTGATTCTTATGGGAACCTTATAGTCTTGTTGATGAACATTTCTGTGATTTATTATCAGCTCTGCAGAAGTTTCTGAAATGAAAACATAAGAAAAACACATTATAATTGTTCCTCCTATGCACTGTATATACAGTTACTGAAATTGTATAATTGTTATATTGCAATTAACTGTAAAGTTTTGTGTGAGTATTTTTGTGCTTTGTCATTTTATTTCCACGTTGTTCCACTTGGCAATCTCACAAAACACAAAACAGTGCAGCGTTTTAAATGTGAATGCAGACCTACTGTATCATTCATGGATAAAATCCTGAAGTCCACCTGTTTGCAAATTTGCTGTTGGGAATTTTAAAACTCAATAACTTGAAATTAAAAGAAGTTGGGAGGAAAAAAAAAACATGCTGAGGCCGTGAAAATGTTGTTTAAAGTTTTTTGTTCTCAATTTAATTTCATCGCATGCTTACCGTTAAAGGCTTTGATTTTCCAGTCATTGGATACAGTGGCGTTCCCACCAAGGGAGAAGGTAAGGGGTGATCCATAAGGAGGCAGATCGGGATCTTCTGCCACCAGCATCAGAGGCTTCTGGGATTGTTCCACGGGATAGCAGATGATTGCTGAAAGTGACTCCTTCGACAGTGTTGGGACATTGTCATTGACATCTTTCAATTTAATGAAAACCTGCTGTTCTGACATTTGTTTAGGTTCTCCTGCAAAGCAATTTAAAAAAGCATTCTCAGGACATTCATTGACACAAAATATTTTCTCATGAGTGGTTTTTGATGATATATTAAGGAATATATCTGCATAAAGAGATAAACAAGATAATGAACATTTGTGTCGTGTTTTGTTATGGACAAAGAAATGGAGGACACTCTATGCCTATATGACACAAAGGCATGTTTTTCTTTCTGCATTTTCACCTGTATCTGCAGACCTCAGATGGCATCACTTACTTTGCCTAAAACTGTACAGAATTGATAAACCTTTCAATTCCCATCTTAACAAATATTAATGGATTCGAAAATACCAGTTATTAAAACAATATTTCAAATTCCTTTAAATGCTGAAAAAGATAACTTGTTCCTCCATTCTGATGAGAATCCATACAAAGAGGCAACACCAGTGTCCTTACCTGCCTCAGCTCTAACGCGCACTACATACTCCTGCATCTTCTCAAAGTCCAGGCTTGCTGCTGTAATAATATCTCCAGTTTTCTCATTAATTCGTAACCACTTCAGGGAGTCATCTAAGAGTGTATATCTGAATTGTTTAAAAAAACATGTAGTAGAACTCAATAAATTTAAAGGCATTGTGTTTCAGATTATGCTCAGTTGTTTAGTGAGCAAGCTGTACCAAAGGGGTACTATTCTTGAAAGGTTCTACAACTGGGAAGGATGGGTGTGTGGCCTAACCAATCATATCAGGGTTCATATTTGAGCTCATGCTCAAAGTTTGGATAGATTAAGCGTTTAAAGCCTTTATAATAATTAGAAATCAATGTCGTTTGGGGAAAAAATGTTTAATATGTACCAAGCAACAATACTAAGCAACAAGGGATCACTATGAATTATGTGAAATCATGGAAATAAACATGAAATAGCTCTCTTCATTTCAGAGGGGCCCCATTAACTAATTTCATTAGCTGTCCACAGCTGCTTAATTTGACTACACACAAAAGCTGAATTAAAAGTCAGTGATACTCTCCAAGCATTTTGAAAAATGTGAGCGCTACTTAGTATTTATATATGTCTAATACTTACGTGATAGCATCATCCTCTGGGTCTTTGGCCTGTACTTGCAGAATGGTTGTTCCATTGGCAATGTCTTCTAAGATGATTGTTTGGTAGATACCGGTCTTGTTAAACTCTGGAGCTTCATTGACGTCAGTAACTTCAATAATGACCAAAGCTGAAGAACTGGAGTTGTAATCTATTCCAGAAACCAGGGGCTCCGGATTCCGGGCATTAATTTGAAGATGGTATTGAGACTGCTTTTCAAAGTCAAGTGGCTGCAAAAACAAAACGTCTGACATTAATCAAGAGTCTCATCATTACAGAAAGAAATTCATGATTCATTTTGGTATTTTTTACTCAAGGAGCAAAGTGTTTATGTATGCGGGTAGTGTGAGAGATGTTTGATTTAAATTGCTTACTGACTAAATCATTATGAATAGCATATGAATGTCCAAATTCTTTTATTTGGACAGATAAGAAATGAGAAAACATTTAGTGGAAAGGCACGGGAACCAGTTAATTCTATTTCTTTCCTTCTCACCTTGATAATATATAGATATCCTCTATTTGTTGTCCCATTTGTTTCGATGGCAAAGTGTTTACCGGGGTCTCCATTTGCAATACTGTACTCAACCTTCGAACTGCCAGTTCCTGGTTCATCAGCATCATTGGCCAGGATAGAGAGCAGTGTGGTTCCTGAAGGTGTGTCCTCTGGTGTGGACACAGGTTCATACTGAAAAGAAAAGACCATACGAGCCATAAGACTCTTCCATTAATCAATTAATAACCATGTTTTGGTAATGTTACAATGTAGAGAGGACTGGAAATCCAAGCTATAGATATGGTTAAGTCTATATATATAAATTCAGGAAGCCCACATACTCTACTGAAGAAAAAAGATGAATCATGAGCACTCTGTTTAATTTTCTGGATGGACAGTCAAGTAATAAGCAATGGTCTCCTTTGAGCTGAGTATACATTACCAGTGACATTTATATGTGACAATATAATGCATATAAATATAATGAAAATAAGTAGAAAGAAAGATGCCATAATGACTCATTTGAGGGGCAACAGTAACAAGATTGACTCATTGCTGCCTGAATCATTGCTTGACAACAGCTCATGAGAGAAGCTGTTTGCAGAATGAGACACCCTGACAATCCTCAGATTTATCTAAATTTATAAAACCAAGAAGCAGAGTGTGTTCTGGAATGCAGAGAGTGACCACAATTGTGCGGGACAATTCAATTAGTTTCCTACATCTCTAGAGCCATTTCCTGAGTGAAATCACAACAGCAAACCCCAGGAAGAGACAATCTTCGAATCAGATACCTGACTATAGCACGTTATTTGTATGAAAATAATTTCCATGCTTTTCAGATGGCTGAGGGAAATCCCATGATGAAAGTATATTCTTTAACCCCCAAAACAGAGTTGTTCATGCCGAGCAGGATGAAACTGTGTAGTTACCTGACTGTTTTCAAATATGGGGATCTGGTTGTTTATATCAATGACCTTGATAACCAACTTGCACTCAGTACTAAATCCTGCAAAAACAAAATTTGCAACAGACTGAATTAACATTTTCAAAAAATGAAATGGAGATTTCAAATAGATGTTGAAATCTATGTATTATGTGATTGCAGAATTGCCCACTGAATTTAAAATCCCTTTTGCTGCCTATAAAATTATAATTTAACAATGCAATTTGTTTGCTGCTGCTTCTAAAACAAAGTTCACTTTGAACTTTTAAACTTTAATTTCCCCCAAAATTTAGTTACCCGTAACTCCGATAAGGATCTTCTGAAAATGACACCAAGGGCTCTTTATTTGTATTACATTGCGGCATTATTTTCTAAACTAACCTAAGAAAGATGGGTGATTATTCTTTTCCTCCTGACCATTGGATAGTGTACTGTGTGATAAAATCCAAGGAAACTGTCTAAATTTCTATCTCAGACTGAAAGAGGTTTGGTAAACAGGTACTGAACTACTTATAATGAGGTGCCCGTCTGTTTTCCATAAGAAAGGTTACAAAAGAGAGGGGGCTATTTGTCCCATCCAGCCCATTTGGAAGTCAGTAGCTAATTGATCCAAGAGTCTAATCCAGCCGCTTCTTAAAAGAAGTCCTGGTATACTGTAGGCTTCAAGAACATGACTGGGTATCTCATTCCATTCGGAACAAGTTCCTGATTCGGGTTTCGCTTCCAGTGTCCTATATCACATCCACGTAGTTCTTATGTCTTAACTTTATTCCGTAGAAAAAGAGCTGTTTCTAAATACAGCCATACTTAGCCAAAGGAACATACCTGCAGGACGTCCTCCATTGTCTGAAACCTTCACTCTGAGTCTGTACTCTGGGACCTTCTTCTTTTCAAACTGCCCATGTGCAATCTGAATGTTTCCACTGTATTCATCGATGGTGAACATGGTTCTGGAAGGAAGCTCTGGCTCCTGGTTCAATATCTCATAGTGCAGAAGAGAGTTCTCTGTGCCCTCTTCATCCAGGTCTGTGACTTGCAGAACTCCAATCTTATTTCCTTAAGAAATACAATGCATGGCTGTTACAAGGATACACTCACCTTGAGCAAAATCAAAGTGTTTTAATAAAGAATAATATTAGCAGTTTTTTTTAGAAATATTTACAATATTCTTGCCTTCAAGGGCAGGTGATCATCTAGGGACATTATGTTAGTCTCCAACTAGAGATATTTGCTAAGCTTTTCTGAAAAAGTCTGCTCCTTTGTTAAAATTGCAAGAGAATCCCTTACTGACTCTCAATGAGCGTCCTGAAATATTCATGTATCACTTTAAAACTTTATCATGTTGTAAGGAGAAAATAGGTGTGAGCTTAAACGTATTATGAAGAAAATATTCTGTATTTTATGGTGTAACTGTAAACAAACAGCATTTTCAATGATTGCTTAAACTAACAACTGAGAGTAGTTTTCTAAAAAATAATTGAATTGTCTTGTAATAATTTAAAAAATAATTTAAAATCACATAAGTAATTAGAGGTCTTTACCTATATTCTCATTTTCCTGGACTTCAAACAGGCTCTCACTGTGCACACACACGGGAGGGTTGTCGTTAATGTCTTCTACAATCACATGGATCTCCAGCGGCCTGTCCAGTTCTTTCATGTTTTCATCTCTCACAAACACCACCAGCCCGTACTGAAACAACACAGAAAGAGACTCAACACAGGCTGATGCACAGCAAGACTATGCCGTGATCTTTTTCAAGAAAATGCATGGATAAGCACACTTATTAAGCTCCATTACTGTAGACAGCAGAAAACTACCATCTTCTGACTTGCCACATGTAATTTGAACTGGATATTGTTTTTAGAAAGTTGTATTCACATATTTTTCCTATTTCCTCCAAGTCGAGTCTTTTATTCCCCAGTACATTATAGCATGATGTATAAATTCCAAAGCTTTAGCAGTGAGGACTTACATGCTTTTTTCTAATCAGAACTCATAGGATTTTACACATGCTACTGAGTTTCAATTAAAAAACAAGTCTTACACTGTAAAAACTGCTTTAGCCAGAATTTAACACCAATGTACGTTAATAAACCCACCTATTAACAGATGTTATGAATGAGAATTTGTCTTGTTTCAAATTGAAAATGTTAGTTTCCAAAGAAAGCAAATTATTTGGCCCTCATTAATAAATTAATCTGGAAACATAATACAGTGGAGAAAATCACTAGCATTAGCTTCTGGTTATTTGTTTAATAATTTATGTTCTTCGGTCTTCTGTATCCAAAAACAAAGTCTTTCCTTGTCTGTTCTCTATGTAGTGGGGGTGATAATGTTAATCCATAGGCATTTGCTATTAAGAAGATGTACATTCATCTATTCATCAGTTTACAAACACCTACTGTATCAACTAATTATTTTTTTTTTCACTAGTCTCAAAACTTCAGCAGTTACGGGACCACCGAAATTGCAGAGTCTGATGATAAGAGCTTCATGAGAATATGACCTGTTGAAATAGCTCTTTAAAAATCCTATGGATTGGTCTTCATATTGCCTCTTCAGTTTGGTCATTTGTCCTTATTTCTTGACTTTTTTACTCTTTGTCCTAAAACGTGGAGGAGATGTTACCCTGCTCTTTTCCTCCCAGTCCAGGGGCTCGGTAACGTAGATTCTGCCAGCTGGGTCTATTGAGAATGGAAACCGTGGAAACTTCTCCTTCTGTGCAAGTGTATATATGGCTCCTGGTTCGTTCCACTGCACCTGTGGAATACAAGAAGCAGAAAGGCCTAGTAAATGAAGTCAGGTTGAAAACTTGAAATAAGAGGATGAGCTTCCTTTTGCAGCAGCATACCTGTGTGATTTGGACTGGGTGCTGCTCGGTGGAATTCTCTTTGATCGTAATTGGACTGGGAGCCACCCACAGGTTTTCCTTCACTACAATGTTCACCCTTGTGCTCCCACTCAGAGCGCTTTCTGACAAGCCTTCCAAATCTCTAACGGTAATTATGAGGGTGTAGTCTGCTGCAATTTGTGGATCCAGTCTCGCGGCTCCTGAGAACCAACAAATGCAAAACATGAGAAAATCTTGTTAGAACGGAGCTGGGAAAGAGTTTGAACATTTTTCTGCAACAGGTGAGAGAATGTCATTTTATGTTCTGACAGTCATTTTTACAAGCATTCTTTTGTTCATTTATTACAATCTTAACACTCCTAAGAGTCACACAGTAAAAAGCTACAAACACAAACACCCCATCATCTAAATCAAATAGCATAGTCACAAATTTGATCTGGATGATTTCCAGATGTTTTATACATGTAGATTCTTACAAATATTTGTATTGCTTCAAGGGCTGATCAAATTAAACTGTAGAGCATCAGTTTTGAAATAGTACTAATCACTTAGTTACAACTGTCTTTTCAATCCTATAGCTGGATGTCAAAAAGATAACCATCGCAATAAAATAGAAGAAAGCATATAATACAGAATACAATATGTTAAGTTCTTCATAGCTTGTTGTTTGACTCTGAAGCAAGTTGTGTTTTAAAACAGTGCATCTTTAAAAACTATTGTCGTAGTTAAATTTGGATGCTGTTCTTTTTTATCCTTTATGGCAATTAAATAATAAACACATAAAATAAGTCATAGGGCATAGTTCTTCCCACATTGTCATTGCTCTGATAAGATAATGACCTATCCTTTCTTCCTGGTTTTAAATCAAACTTCTGAGCAATGTTGTTTGATGTCTTCTGTGAGAGTAGAGCTTGTTCTCTTGAGAGTCGATTTAACTAAATTAGTTAAAGAAGTTTCTGAACTGAGCACACTGTCACAGAGCGACCAAAAATAGTCGTGGGCAGGGGCAAGGGAGCTATATTGACTTTAAGCATGCACACGCATATAAAGCCAATGTTTTCGTCAGATGTGCCCCTTTCTCTTTGCCTGTCTGCTTCCCTTCTCTTACAATCAAGGTCTGCCAGCCATCCTGGTGCAAACAGAAGGACAGGTGGCAACTAACAAAGATTAAGCGTCACACCGTTTGCCTAGACGGCCATTAATTACCCCACAGTCATGTTGAGGACCTGCGGGACAGAAACAGAAGGAACAAAGGAGGATGGGATGACACACATTGTTACAGCTTGTCAACTGCATAGCCAGTTTGTTAATTAGCCCCCCTGGTTGGGTCTAGCTCCACACCCCCCCCCCACTGTGATCACCAGAACACTCCTGCCCTCCTGCCCCTCAGTCCAGTCAAGGAGCTCTGTCCTGGAAGGCACATTGTATCTGGCACTGCATTGTATTAAAAATATCTTGTGACGTTTGTGTGCATCATTGTAGGGCAGTTTGAGAGCTTTTCAATGAGCTGTACCATCTATCTCTCCATTAAATCTGAGCCAGGAAAGTTCTTCTGATGCTTTTCATTATGACCTACTGTACATAACCTTCCTTAATCTGAAAAATTCCCTTACCCTTTCTACCGCAAATGTCTCTTTTTCCACAAAGAGATTTCCAGATAGTTGTGTTCCTCTTCCTTCAATATCTGACATCCCACCATTATGACATCTACTCATTGTGGGTTTATTTTCAGAATTACTAATCAACCTGCAGTTCTTTTTTTGCAGGAAATGACTTAATATCACATTATCCACCTATGCTTCTACTCTCTTTTTAAGTGCCCCTCAGTTTCAGCATTAGCTACAGTATAGCCGTAAGTGCTGAAGATTAAATTGTTAATATCGACAATCCGGTGTGCTTTCTGAAAAGGTTTCCAACACTTCTTTCAGCAGCAAATCAGTGAAATCCGAAGTAAGTGCATCACTTCTCCAGCACATCTATGTCACGATTGTAGTCCCTCCCCCTTAAGGGCGCTCCAGCTCGTACACCTTTTAGTTGATTTTGTGCACCTGCTCCCTGTTCCGGCCTCCCTACAAAAGCCAGACGCTCACTCTGTTCCCGGCTCTGCAGTGGATCACGGACGTCACGAGGCTCGCCTATCACCGAGTCGCCCTACGTCCGCGGCTCGGGTGGCATTCGCCTCCTAGGTGTCCTGAACCAGCCATACCCGGGACCTGGAGCGCCTGGTCCCGTTCTCCCTTTCTTCCCCGCGACCCTTCGCCGGATCATGCTCTGGTTTTTAACTTTGTCGTGTCTGTCTACAACCCCTCGCTGGATTCCGCTCCAGCTTTTAACTTTGTCTTGTTCGTCTTGGATTTATCACCCGGCTCTGGACCTTCGCCTGCTCTGGACTTCCCTTTGGACTGTTCGCCTGGACCACGCCCCCCTGGAGCACCTTTGTCACGCCCCCCCACCCAGTTCCTCTACCAGCCCAGTTCCTCGTCTCCCCCCTGTGTGTGTCCACTCCCTTCCGGATTGTGTCATCTGCACAGGGTCCTGAAAGACGCTTCGTAACAATTAAAGCAGGTGCATCTTAAGGAAGACATTTACAGCCTAACTCTACAGCATCACCTTGTGTTTTTGCTCCTTTTCAGCAACTATCAGGTCTTCACAATAATGAAGATCAAGGGCGGGGTTTTTGTTTTAACTAATTTTTCATGAAAATCCTCAGTTTACTTTCTAGTAGAGCTCCGGTTATGTGGTCAAACTATAGTGTGTGGTATTCATCTTCATCTGCTAGTTGCAAAGTGTGTTTATTACATATTCTATCCTGCTTGTCTTTAGAACACTGGGCGTGATTCCAATACATCTTTGTACTTTCCAATTCCTTTCCAAATCTTTATTACTGCAGATGAATATTAGATCCAATAATAAATCGGATATCTTTCAAATCTTACCAATCCTTGCGATAACAAATGTACAAATTATTGAAAAGATAAGAGCTGTTATAAAAGAAAGGAAAATTATGAGAAACCAAAGTTAATTATATGGACATTTTAAAGGTTACGATGAAATACAACTCAAATTTCATTTAGAAAATTTTTGATGAACAGTTTTTTAATGACAGTTGTATCTGTTGTTTCTGTGTCTTCGTGACAAAACATTTTGAAATAAATAGCAAAACCATGTACTAGACATACAAAAAAACTCTGAAAGTGAATTGAATGAACCTTGTTTGTTGAATTGTAATTTGATTCATGACATTCCTGAACACAGAGAGAATTTCCAAATTCATTTTTATAGGTAAAATTTGCCTTCTTCATACGAGATAAAAGTATAAGTAAAACTGGGCTACAAATAACCAGCCACATATACTTTTTGAAAACCTATTGCTGCCTATACTATGAAATTCCTTTGAAGCTTTTTTCTCACTGTGGGTTCTCTCTCTTTTCGTACTTTAATACGTCTAGTTTAGTTCGTCTTTAGTCTCATTTGGTTTTTAATTTTGTGACCTGTTGTTTTGTCCCTGGCCTTGTTGAAATCAATAACCACTAGTTCCATTCACACTGAAACAATTTTGCCAACATACAGTAGTTCTGTGGGATCTCACCTCTTTGTTGAACGCAAGTGAAGAATGGATTCCTTTCATAGGGAATATTCTCTTTGGGAATGCAATATTCATCAAATTTTTTCCTCAAATGATCCACCTTGTCCACATCTTCTTCTTTATCAAACATGAATACCTTGCTGGCCTTCAAAGCTGCTGCTCCTACAATGTGCAGAAGAAGCTTTTTCTTAAGCTTTTCTAGTTTATTTTTGGAATCCTTGGAGATTTAGGTTGTTGATACAACTTCACAGATTTCCTCACGTTTTCCACTAGGAAGCTTTTCCAGGAATAAGGCCTAGAAACTGTCCATTATTCTGAGCTTTCCTCCAGTCTCAGATCGTGGGTTGAAGAGACCACATACATGGTAGAATTAAAAATTATATTTACTTTTTTACATATCAGAACTGTTACTTTAGTGGAAGCATTGCTGGTCATTTCTAGGAAGCTTAATTTACCACACAACCTATGTTTGCAATTTCCTCTTTCTTAAATATTCCAAGAATACCTTAGTTATATGGTTTGACATGGAAAACGTTTTTGAAAATAGTGATTTTCCTGTACAAAATTGTGTTGTCTTTGTTTTACATAACAATACACGATGTATATATTGTTCTATCAATATGTATGCAGGCAACACTGATCGGTCATAGAGATGAGCAGACATTATGAGCCCAACATACAGTACCTTCAGGAGTGGTGGAGATCTCCCCAGTGGCGGCGTTAATCTGAAACATGGGTGTCTTGAGATGATCCGGGATTTGGTTTGAAATAGTGAAGTTCAACCTGGCATTGGGGGTGTTGGGATCGTCCATATCTGTGGCAAAAACCTGCAAGAATGGGTCACCTGAAACCAGAACATACAAATGCGACAGAATGAGCCAGTACCACTGGAGGACATTCACTTCTCAACAATGAACTGGTTTTCCCACTTCCATTATATCATGCGCAGTATGTTCATTCCTGTTTGCAAAAGATAACAACAACAACAAAAAGTTGGCAAAGGGAATTTCTTTGAACAGACCAGGTACTGAGTGCTCCCTCACAACTCCAGCATATTCAGACTGACTGAAGACGGGCCGATTGTCGTTGATGTCTTTCACGATTATTGTCACTGTGACGGGTCCCTCCACTGTCTGTGAAGACTCATCGAGAGCTTCAATCTACCACCAAATATGAGAGGAAAAAACCCTGAGTAAAGCAGGATAATAGTGTAAATAAAATGCTTTTCTGTGTCACAATATATTTCTGACCTGAAAATAATGTAAAGTATGAATCGAAGGAAATGAATTGAATCTTGATGATAATAATGCAATAATACCGCATTTTGATGTAAAGCAAAAAACAAATCTTGAATTATTGATCTTATTTGTCAAGTATTAACATAGTCTCTCATGATCACAAATGTCTCTTAGCTTGATATACAGTATGTACTGAGGAATTAACAATGTCCGGAAGACAAAGTGAAAAGAGACACCACAGAAGTAAAAGCAGAAATACGTGGACACATTTATATAATAATGTTTGTGAGTACATAATATTAAAAATATACTGCAGATACAATACGTTTTGAAAGTGTTCACTGCCTTCCCGTGATGTCCTAATTGGTTGAATTAGAAATCAATTAACTGTGCAGTGAAAGATTAGAACCTTTAATTTTGTGGTTGCAGGCACAGATGCAGCTGAATTCCCATACCTGTATGCTATGGCTCTGCTTCAGTTCTCTGTCCAGGGCCTTTTCTAAGTACAGCCAGCCGTCATTGCTGATCTTGATTTTATCCTCCGTTTCGCCGGTAACTTTGAATGATGTCACCTCAGGCTGGGACGCTTTAAACTTTAACCAAAGACACAGTAGCTTCACCATGGTGTCTTCACACACAGAAGTTTTCCATCTCACATTCCCCGTTAAAAGTGTAATCATGCTCCTCTCTGTTTTTCGCCCAGCTTTTCTTTGCAACAGCCACACTACAACAACACTGAACAGCTAACAACATGCTGAAGCTGAAACTTCACTCAACAAACAGTATTTTATAAGAGTTTTCTAGTAGTAGATACAATAGTTCATCTTTTCAAACTATTATTGCTGATCTGTACAGTTTCTGTTTATTACTTAATAATAAATCAATATCCGATTGACTTAAAAAGTACTTAATATACTGCTGGACAGCCCAGCTCTGGTCCTTAGACAAATCTGTTCTGCTGTCCAGCAGATTTTATTGGCCACTTTCAATCACTACCTCATTCAAGGCTTCTTCTTGTCCAGTTTAGCAAATAAGTTCAGTTAGGTATTAAGGGCTCAGGGAGGAAAACCAGAAAACTTTTCACCCTCAAGGATTTGGTGTTGTGCTCCTCTGTTCTACAACGTGTTCTGTTGTGTTTATAGCTTATGTGAACCAATATTAGTATTGTATTATTTACCTATTTCCAACTATTCTTAAGAAAGCTATTTAGAAATGTTTAAAAAGGACTATAAATTAATCAATAAAAGAGTCCCACTGAAACTGATACTCGTGGATTTGTCATTACGGAAATATGAATGAGCGCACATTTTAAATGTTAATTATATAAGTACTGTAACTCTATCTTTCCTTTACATTTTTGACCTACTATAATTTTTTAAAATGCTCCCTTCAACTCATCTGAAATGTTTTGTGTTTCTGAGGAAGCAAGAGATCTGTGGCATTCATGTCAATGCAGGGTTACCATGGCCTCAGTGGGGATCTAATGACAAAATAATCAGAGAGCAAAGATTACCTGGAAAACTGCAAATGGCACTACGGTCGCTTCTGGAACTTCTAACCTCTTTTCCTCCAGGGGTCCGTTTTTGTTCTCCCAGGTTAAACCTTTCAAAAGGGTCTGAGAAACATTTAAAGTACAGTAAAATGTAAGGGCTGTATCCCGACTTGACTTCAGTCATCAGATCATCTAAAGTACAGTGTTCCTGAAGTATTCAAAGTTTTTCTGTAAATCTGACAAGAACATAATACTATCATACATACTCAGTAATTTAGTAGCTAAGGGAATATAAGATTTTGTCCAGTCATTTCTTAAAAGAGCCCAAATTCAGAGCCTGGCTGGGAAACCTCTTTTAGACATTCACAACTGTAATGAAGTGTTTCCTTTTCTGTATCCTGATTGAATGCTCTTTTCATTGCAAATTGTTACCCTATGTATACTGATTAAGCAGAGTCCCTGCCTTCATTTAAAAAAAAACGGACTGGACTGGCATCAATTAACTGTTAATTACCTAATGAACTAGCCTCATATAGCCTGATCGCGAATAGCCTAATCTCCTTCGTAACCTTTCTCGTGTTCTTATGCTCTCGTTCGATATCATTTAACCGCGCAGTCAGCTGCTATTTTTAATTTTGCCTCAGAACTTTCATTCCAGCCGCTCTGCAGTTTTATAGCAGGTTATCACAGAATATGTTAAATGTTAACAAATGGACTGTTTATGGTTGCTAAGGACTTTACCACTTTACAACATTACTGTTGGTGTAAATCAAATATTTAGAGTCCTTTGTTAGATTTGTCTTAGTCTTATAACCTAATTGGCTTCGTTTAGAATTATAGCAGCAAAAACATAATATCTTTTAATCTCTTAGTTATATACAGTACATATAAACTAAAGAGAGGGAATGAGGAGTCTTTTTAATCTGGAAGCACAACCATACTTAAAGAGTGCAAAGGGTCAAAGTAATCAATTGAAAACACTCAAAATGTATCCACCATCCAGTGGGATTTGCTGTGAGTTGCCAGTGTCCAGTGTACAAGAAACACCTCTTCATAATCTCATACACAGCTACACTCTCTCCTTTTAGTCAACAAACTCATTTCATGCTTTTGTACTCTGGCAGCTCTACAGGCAGTCAAATAAACGTTTTTTTTTTACTTTAAAACCAACAAAGCATCTTTAAATACAGTTTCTATTCTGTGATAAAAACTTTAAAGAAAGAAATCTTTGTGTATAGTAATGAGACACATATAGTACAATACTTACCACAGTGCCCAAAAGAATGATTAATGATACTGCATTGTGATTGGGAATCATTCTGAAGTATTGAAGAGTACCTGTTGAGAAATAAAAGGCTTCATAACTCAGTGCCTCAGTTTTAACTCCCTTTAGCTTTATTTCATTTCAGGGCTTGTTTCAGCACAGATTTACAATCAATTTCATTTTTTAATAAGATAAGATTTTTAGATAATCATATTGGGTAACTTAATAAAAAATCAAATGCCATTTGTGTTCTTAAATAGTTCAAACTCAAGCACAAACTGTGCAAACACAAGAAATGTGTTCAAAAGAATTAAATGAAAGGTGGTGATTAAAAATTTGTAAAGGCTGATACAGATTTGAAATTTAAGTAAACTAATATCAAATGAGCAGAAGTGGAAAAATACTCTTTAAAAATCAATTTGATAGGACTGACCCTTTTAACAAAGATAGACTAAGTGATGGAAAATTCAGAAGACATGTTTTTCCATGCTGTATTGCAGAACTGGTCTTCCAAGCTAGTCTTTTACAATATGTACAAGCAATCAGTCTACTATCAAAGAGAAGACTGTGCCTGCCGCCATCTCATTCCCTTTCTAAGTTTAGATCTTTACAAGCTCTATTATTTCAAAAGAAAAAAAATCCAGTATCACTATTCTACTATGCAGGCAGGATATATAACAATTAATAAACATTAACAGGGTACTATTAGGGCTTAAAAGAAAAGCTACGCTGAAAAACAAAGCTGGTTAAAAAATAATAGAGGAGGTGAAATCTGATTTATTTGTGCAATTTTTGGGGAGTACTTTCAGTAAACACCTCTAAGTTAGGTGAGGTGTTATTTCATTTTTGGATGACACACTAGCATTTAACAAATGATAGATAACGATTTGTTTAACAAAGGCTGCTTAGTTAACAATTACTTTTTGTCACAAATAAATAACTTGTACAATCCCTACATATGTCAATAATAAGGCATGTATTAGACATCAATAACTCCTTCACTATAACTCAGTAGGCTGTATTTCATTAAACAAATACTAGCAATGCATAGTTTATATACTGTATAATCCTTAAAAATAAACTGTTACCATGGTTTTTGCTTTTGGCACACACAAGATATTTTGGAAGTATCCATTTTCCAGATGTGATTTGTAATACACTGTAATACACTTTTTGGATCAATATTAGATTGCACCTTGCTTTCCAGTACTAACAAACACAAAAAAATAAAGAATACAGTCAATAAAGTACAAGAAGAGATTCAAGCAGCCTCACTGCTCACGAGAATCCTTATAGTAAGTAAGGGCACTCAGAGCACAGACTTTAACACCAGCTCACGTGTTTCACAACTCACTTTCACAATCTTCATTATCTTATCAGGTTATTTCCTCTCTTGATGTGGTGCACCTTTTACATTTTTAAAATTCATTTGATAAATCTTACTATGACTTAAATCTTTGCTAGGGCTGCATTCAGACAGCCTGTCTGTGAATATAACAACGTACTATAACTGCTCTCAGCATCAATATCTCTTTCTGAAGCAAGGTTCCACGAACTTAAAGGTTCCATCTCAATGACCTTGAGCTTAGAGGACAGCGATACAATGGGTGCCATGTGACTCTGTGAAAATGGTCAAATACAGAATTTTTTAAGTCTTGTTGCTGTTGAAGTCCGGCTTTAATTGCAGATATACTGTAGCTGTTGATGTCACTGGATTTGTTCAGTATAATTGCTATGCCATACACTCATTAAAACCCCACTCCACACCTTGCACGACGGTGATATGTTCCAGGATGTAACCATTTAAACACACTGTTTGGACAGTTACTCATCTGATTACTCAGATGTTTAATCTATCACGCTGTCATGTGACTCATTGTCCACTTCCTGCTAAACTCGGCAGTGGGCTTCTTATGCTGTTTCTTATCACTGTGGCATGGTACTATAGACATTTTTCAGCACAAGTTCAAATCTTTGTTCTATAAAGTAACTGAAGCACAAAATGGTGGAGTTGTCCATTTGTTCTGAAAGGGCTTCAGCACTAATGTAACTATACACATTTGCACGAACGTCTGCCTAATGCAAAGACCAAACTACACGGTACAGACATATGAGCCCTTTGTATTTTCTCTATGAAAAAAGCTCATTTAATTATGAGAGGATTACGTTTTCAAATAGGTAACAACTCCAAAGTCACAGAACTGTCATTTCAAGCCTCAGTTGAAGTCATTTAAAATTACCGGTATTTAGATAGCAGTTAGATAAAAAAATAAAAAGGGAACTAATAATGATGGCATAATTTTGTGCTTAGAAAGAAAGCTATTGGAAATATATTACAGGTAACAACATTACAGGAAGGCCTTAGTAAGATGTGCTGAAGTTAGAAAAGGACTGGTTAAGGAGTAAATGTCTCTGTATGCAATTAATGTGAAAATCACTTTCTCTTTCTGTTTTTTTAAGCTACCATGACAAAATCCAGGGATAGTTCATGAATTAATACATTAACATGTGCCAAAGTGTCAATATATTGGTCACTATGTAAAAGGAAGGACATTGTTTTCCTGGAAACAATTCAAATGAGAGTCTGGACCAGATATTATTCTAGTCTGGAGTGAATGGTTTACCAGTTCAAAGGAACTGAACGTGTTTAGTCTCATACAGGGGATTACCAGAGAGCCAAATACACATATCTAAGTCTTGATAAAGATAGTAGATTATCTCATGATCCAGAAAGAGACACCAGTTTAGGGAAGCAAGAGAAAACCAAGACAAATGAATTTAGGACTGAAAATATTAGCTACTTTTTTGACAAAAAGTGTTGTTTGTTGTAGCGTATGTCTCCTCCTAATATTAGCCTTTTTCAGATTCTAATCATGAATCTCATAATGAACATGGAGACGGGTCTTGTTTTTAAGTGCCAGGGGTGTTTTTTAATTGCATAGTCTTGTAGTGGGAAAAAGGGTAATTCTGCAAAGTGAGAAAGTGATGACTTTGAACAGTCTTTCATGACCTTGTCTTAGCAGGTCAGATAAAGGAATACTTATTACTGTCTACAGGATTCTGGAGCGGGGCTCACTAGCTGTTTTTTAACATGAGGTGACTTGGTCTGGCACTTTCCTTATTAAATTTAAAATTCCATGCTCCTTGTTGTAGCTTTAATTTGGTTTATGCATTTTGATATGTACAACAATTGAAAAATGTCCATTGAGCTTTCCATTCATTGCCAAAATTCTAAATAATAAAGGGACTGCAAAATAATGTTATCAATGAACTTCTTCATGAGACCTGATTGTTATAGTAATTGAAAGTACAGTGTGTGCATGTGAAAAGAAATCAGTTGGAATTTAACCTCGATGGATCCGGTCTATAGTATTCAGAGCCTGCTTCTTTGTCTCATAGCATCTTACGAGCTTAATTAAATCTCGTCTTTAGCATTGGATTGATTTAAGCTGTATTACTGCTGTCAGGGTACAACATGGAAACGCCATAAAAAACAAGTTGCATATACATTTTTAAACAGAAAGTTCGTACACACCTTGGAACAGAAACTGACAGACAACACCCTTTCTTTCTAGTCACTGCTTGAGTTTCCACAGTTATTCATTTCCTTTTCCCGCTCCAGACATCAGACCCTTTTAATATTAAGCTGCAGCTGAAACCCGCTACCTCGACGACAACAACATTTATCAACAACAAAAAACGGTAATTAAAATATATATATATATAAAGGAACTGAGGTGGAGGACATACCGGCTGGGAGACGTGGGTCTTCACTCCCGGGACTACTGTGTGCACAAGGCAGCTGAAACTCTCCCTAGTGAATTGTTAACCTGCAAAAGATTTTATAGACCCTAATGATTTGCCAATAGTTATCACACATAACCATACCAGGAAACAAATATAGACACCATGAAGAGCAACAGTCTCTATAATGTAAGGCTCACAATTTCACATTCATTCCGTTGAGTAGTGATTGTACAAGTGTAGGGGTCAAAAGAATTACATTTAAAGGTGAGAGTAATTTCCTCTCTTCGTAAAGAGTCACAAAAGAGGAAAAGTTATCTTCTTTATATTAATATCCTCATTGATATATACAGTAAAGTAGTCTTTGTATAGCTATCGTAGACCGCTTATATGAGAGATTATGTACTTAAAATGATGCAGAATCTGTAATAGGTTACAAGTTTTACATGTTTCTTGAATGAAGCAAGGGTATCATCTTCAACATCATGGCCCCGGAGCTTGGTCCATACTCGGTCAGATTTAAACGCACTTTAGTATAGTTTCCAATTTTGTCCTGTGGGTCATTGTGCTGGCTGTTGATCCTGAGGAAGTCCACAGGGTTGACTTTGTCAGTACCTTTGAAGATTTTGAATATCTGAGTCAGATCCCCTGATCTGACTCACATACGCGTTAGAAATGTTTTTTTTTTCTTTATATTCCAAGAAATACAAACACAAAAACATTTGTGAATGTTGTGAGACGCAAATTGAGGGGATTACCGGGGAAAAAGCCAGTTGACCTGATCTGCCAGAAAACTGCTTCTGTATTTAAAAGCAACAACGTGGGATGACATTATCCAGCAGTACAGGGAACTCAATGGAAAAAAAAATGCACCTCAGGGTGCATAAACTATGCAGAAGAGTAAAATCAACCAGGTCCTGAGCCCACTGCAAAAGTTTTTATCTCTCTACCATTCCTTAAACAATACATTTTTATGTTAAAAACTGTACAATTATTTTAAATGTCCTCAGATGTCCTTACCACTTCTCTACAAATTAGCAAAGACAAACATTTTTGAAACAAAGATAAAGATAAACAACGTATGCACCGGTCTTTATCAGAACACCTACTATTGTGCATCACCTCGAACACGTGAACACTGCAGGACAAATAGTTTTAAGTACACCAAAACTGAATATGAGTTTTACTTACAATCATATAACACAAGGTGAAAGGAAAAAAAAACGGCTCTTTTTATATTTAAATCCAAAAGTCATGTTAAAGCTTTACATTTAGAATTTTACTTTCATTCTAGGTCACCATGTCAAAAAAGGTTATTATTGCTTTAGTAAGTGTCCCAAAAGAGAAGCAAGAATGATTCCTAGTGTCAGGGGATTGTCATATATGGACATACAGTACATGAAGAGTTGAATCTCTTCAGAGTGGAAGGATGGAGGTTGAGGGGAAATTGAATCCTAATGGTTAAAACTAATGCCAAACCAGGGAAGTATTTCACACTCAGTAGCAGAATGAAGACGTGGGGAAACAATTAGAAACTGGATGGAAATTAATTGTGGATAGGAAAGTAAGAAACACTTTAGCATTTTATTGGACAACCACGACATGACTACAGTAATTTCATTATGATGATTAACATTTGTCACCCACAGAGGGTGGGCTATGGAAGTCACAGACATGTGGTCACCATAGGACATAGAACAAGCTGTACATCTCTGATCTGACAGATGCTTAGCACCAGATTGCAGATTCTCTCTTGTGGGATTCTGTCTCGATCCTCTCAACATGCCTTCCCAAACACAGGTCTGCTCTGAGGCCTCTGAAACAGTTCATAAAATGGAGACACCTTAATTGTTCAACAGAAAATTCGATATAATAATTGCTTACACTTATATAGCGCTTTTCTGGACACTCCACTCAAAGCGCTTTACAGGTAATGGGGACTCCCCTCCACCACCACCAATGTGCAGCATCTACCTACTGTGCAGTATATATATTGTAAAAGGACTCTGTTGAGTCTTGACTTAACTAGTAATTAGGGAAGGAAACCCCAACAACTCCTACCATATCCAGTCCCTTAAAGAGTGAAGGAAGATGAAGACATCCTTTTTTATGCATTTCAAAGGCATGGCAACAACAATAAACTCTTATAAGATGAAGAAGGCATTGTCAACAAATATGCCTATTATTTCAAAGACTGATACTAAAGATTATGTAGTACTCGATCCTGATTATTGTCTATGTCTTCTATGTGTACGTCTATGTCTCCTGACATGCTGGATTTCTGATTTGATAGCATTTGCTGAGTTTTTAAGCATAGCTGTTTTTGTTCTAATGTTTTTGCCCACCAGGCAGTACTTGAAGAATGTATTTCACCGTGTATTAAATGCTATTTAAATCAAAACTACATTTATGGAACTCTATAGTCACCGGACTGTGAATCAGACCATAAGGCAGAAAAAGGGGTGCTCTGTTTAACATCTCAGTAGAAATCCCAACCCACAGACACCATTCGATGAATTAAAAGGTATAAGACACAACACTCCCTAAGAGCTCTGTGTGGTGCTTCTTGTTTGTGTGAAGCAGTGACAGTGAGGTGTCAGTGACAGTGACCATGAGGCAAATCACAGACAATGTCTGAACAACAAGGAAAAGGACAGTCAGAGGCCAGAGACTGGAAAAGAACCAGATTGTCTTGTGCAACGCACACGGCTTCATTACGACTTTAGACTTTGGACTTCGAGCTCTACTGCTTACTGCCAAAAACGTCTTTTGATCCCAGTTATTATAAGCGATGCTGATAGGCCTCTTTGCATCTCAGAGAATTTTGAAGGGTGTTTTTATTTGAGCTTTAAATCCACCAGTTCTGTCCCCTGGTTATAGATGAATAAGAATCAATTACTATTCATTTTTACCCCCCACCAATAAAAGATAAGGCTTACCAATGCTTGAGAGAAGCCTGGGACACTGCGTAACAGATCTTAGCTAATTATTATTGAATATTACTTTTCTTTGTTATGCCACTATGAGAATTGTCAGTTACAGTATGTTTAGCATCTCCTGGGGAGTATAAGCATGTTCTAGGAAACAATTACTGAAGGTAAGAAAGCAGCTCATTAAATTAATTTAAAAAACGATAATAATATTTTGTCCTTAGAGCACAAAATGCATTTTTAGTTCTGTTTGTTAATGTACGTGTATGTCCTTTATTAAGTATAATATCCAGTAATGGGCTAGGATCTAAACTGCCATAAACATGTTCATTTAATCCTGGCTATAACCTCAGAAAACAATGTGTAACATTGTACTCCTGGATAACTCATTAGAGACTTATCCTAGCTAAACTAATCTGGATCTGCCAGGCCAATCAATGTAGTAAAACCAAGTTAAGTCTCCATTATAAATATAATACTATAATGATAACTATTTTCATAGTTTGGAATTTCAAGGTTTTTTTTGCTAATTCTAATTTACTAGAAAGAGAACTAAGACGTATATTGGGGAATCTCTGATGATAGATGATGTACTGTATTTTACAAAACACAACATTCATTGTCACAGTATGGTGAAGGGGTTGGCAGGAAAAATAATTTCACAGAGCTATTGTCCTTGGCTACTGCGTAGGCAAAAGTAAAAATATATTTTTCATTGCTCTGAAAACATTTGTATCATAAAAAGTCACATATCTTGAGAAATATAATTTCATGTTGGTCTAGAAAATAATCTTTTGAAGTGAGACAAAAGCTTTAGGTAAAAAATAACTCATATCACCTGAGTTCACCGGGAGTTTAGCCTGGACATTTCTGTTTAGGCATTTCTTTCAGCAATAATTTATCTTGTTTTATACAGCAGAATAGGGGAAATGAGTGCCCCATCCTGCAAAATGCATGAAAGGAAGATTTTATTCATGGATATTTGGTAGCACACAAAAAACTTTTTTATTTTTAGAAATCAGACTATACAAATCAGATTTAATATGATTTTTAAAAGTGCATTTCCTGTATTGATGCACACTGCTTTGTTGCAGATTCGTGAAAGCCCATTCTTCAGATGGGAGTGTATTGGCACATTGACATCATGACATCAGCATGATAGACATCGATGCTGGAACACTTTTGCAGTAGTAAGTATATAAAGAAAGAACATTTCAAAGAAAATTTGAAAACGTAACAACTTGGACTTGAATGAATAGCCTTCAAATAAAAAGATTGCCTTCTTTTTTAATGATTTATGAATATTTATAATACTTTTTCCTTATCTATTTAATCTGGGCTTTTTTCCAATGTATTTTCTTGCATGTGTCTGGAACATATTGTGCAAGACTTATAATGTAACGGCTTTGCACCCCATCAGGAATAAGAAAGTCAAACACCTCATTTTTCTGAATGTTCTCTTCTGAATTAAGATGGGTTTCTCTTTGAAATGTATAAACTAGTAGAGGCTTATATTTTAGATAATATACATCTGAAAGTTTAAATCTTAATCTTCTTAAGCTTTGTAAACAGCAGCAAATCACTGCTGGTTTAAGAACTGAAGTTTTTAGCACTTGGTGGTCAGATTCAAATAACATTAAGCAGGACAAGAAAGCTTATTAAAGTTAATTTAGAGAACCCATTATTGCCTTAAGCCTCATTTTTTTCCTTCTATTTTTTCTAGGCTATGTTATTATTGTTGTAGCAAACCAGTACACAAAACAACAAAAATTCTGTTTTAAACTGTATGTAGCATGATGTCTGAGGGACTGCAAAAAGGCAACAAACTTTTGTCTATCATCACACATGCATTGCTGTGCTAAAGTCATAGAAACCCTAGAGACAATACGGATTAATAGTTTATATATGTTATGTCCAATTCACGGATGTTATTAACATCACCAATTGACATCGCAGACTGAATGAGGAGAAACTAGGCTTATTACTGTACAATCTGTCATTCTCATTGCTTAAAATCTTCAAAACCCACTTCACAGTAACTTCAGGTCATCTATACATGAGCAGGCAATATGAATTGTTGTAGCAACTAATCCCCAACTTTTACTATTCTCATATTCTCTCTATACATCTTTTAATGTTGAAAAGCTAATGTTATACTGCAAGGTACTGATCTGTTAGGATTAACCGTTAGTTTAAAACATAAAAGGCTAAATTATTCCAGAGAGCTGCTATAGAATTGTGATTCTGTGTCAACAAGGAAAGACATTGAGGAAAAACAGCACAGCAAAGCAAAATGTCTTAAGACTTTTGCAACACAGTGCACATATACAGTATATGGAGTTGCTTAAGCTAGCAAAAGTTAAATTCAATATTAATAGTTTGTAATGATTTACAGGAAGGAGGTTGTGTTCTTCTGAACTGCACAAAAGCTGCATGTCTCACATTTATGAAATACAGGAAAAACACACATTTCAGAGTCCTATCTGAAGTTGAACTGCAGAATGTTTTGCAAAATGAGCACACAGTATGATCTGTAATTTTAGACAATGACTGATATGGAAGCATCAACCCATGAATTTCTAAGGTGTATGAAAATATTTATTTTTTTTACAAAGCAGATTTTTGGAAGACCACATTATAAAAAATATAAGATATAAATTTATAAAACTTGAAAAATAAGATCAAAGACACTCTGAGGTTCTCAGATTATGTTTTGGCTACTGTTATGTGTAGAAAAAAATCTATTTAATAAGAGATCTACCTATTACAGGTCTTTAAGGTTTTCATTGTGTATTGAAAATTGACAGTCTTTACTAAAGCTGTTTCTGGAAGCAGGAATCAATCATGCTAACTGCCCTTAGTTCAATAATGCAGGAAAGTGGTTGGAAATATTGTCAGACATTTACAGCAGTAAAATCATTATATCCACTTTTTCCAAACAATTTACTGAGTTTTTGTTTCTTATTTCCTCATGGGGTTTTGAAGAGGGGAAAGAAGAGATGAGATAAGACGTTATTGATCCCGAAGGGAAATCGAGCCATTACAGCAGCCCAGCCCCCCAAAAAACAAGGCAGACATCAGAACAGAAAATTAAAATAACTACAGCATTAGAGTAATTAAAATGTATATAGAATACAAAAATAAAATAGAGTCAGGAAAAAAAATTGGTGTGTGCAAAATATGCTAATAGTCACTGTAATACAATAAAAGATGTCCATATTGCACATAGGTTTACAGTGACTATTAGCATATTTTGCACACACCTGTTTTTTCCTGTTTTATTTTTGTATCCCATATACTTTTTAATTACTCTAATGCTGTAGTTATTTTCATTTTAATTTTAATAAAGAAAACAGACCAGGAGGACTCTCTGCAGCCCTCTAGAGTCAGTCTCTCTATTACCTGTTACTCAATACCCTCTTGTACGTGAACAAATATCTCCAAGCAATTCTTCCATCTGTTACAGACAGAGGAACAGGAGCGGTAGATCAGAGCTGATCTGTCACACCCTCTGTTCTGGAGTTTTGTAACGCAATCTAATGTAGATTGACTTGTGACTTATAAAGTCCTTGAGATGGAAAGCCCGCCAGTGGGTTTATAACACTGAAAGATCGTGGCAAGACTTGGATTTCAGCCTGTAAGCCATGTTCTTATTGTTCTTAGCCACCATTCTGTCCAGGAATCTCTTGGCTTTCCTGGGAAGACTCTCCCTCCTCTTATTGCGAGCCATCCGCCTCTCGTTGGCCTCCTTACTGTCCCTCCTAAGCCGAACCTGTCGCACGATCCCTTCGAACATCTCTCGGACATTGTGCTGCACTGCCGCCGAAGTCTCGATGAACTTACAGTCGAATACTACTGCGCAGGCTCTGCCCTCTGCAAAAAAATATCCAAGTAAATGTAAGTGTCACCTTCAACAAGAATAAAACAGAACCAAACACTTTCAACTCCTGATATAACTATTAGGTATGAGATGCAGGTTATGATTTATGTACAGCTTTAGGTACAGTAATTATACTGTCTTAATCATTCATTATCAGTTCTCTGCAGCACAGAACCAAATTACCTATTGCTTAGTGTTCTGTTGAATAATTACATTTCAAAGTTATCTTCTTATTTAGCCAGATTTTAATTATTAAAATGTGTATGCAGGCATATGGCACCAGTATGTGACATTTCCATACAGAGAATACATAGAGATTTCAGTTTTTACTCTTATGGGACTCCTAAAGACTATTATTGATCTGGTTTTTTTTTTTGCAAAAGCTAGTTTGGGTGCAAATCTCATTTCTCCTCTCCGCCACAAGCGCTCACCGTCGAAAACAAAATAAAACCTCTGCGTTAAGTTTGGGTCTCGTTCTGTCATATTGCTCCATAAATTTATCGTATGACGTTATTTTATCATCTTACGGCATCAGAGGTATTTATTAAAGTTCACAGGGTCTTGCTGTGATTACACGCTCCTTCTAAAAAAACATCAACCCCCTTTAGGGGATTTCAAAATGTTACAGGGAGAGACCTTACCTGCCACTGAGACCTCTCTGCACCGCACAAGGTCGCTCTTGTTGCCCACTAAAATGATGGGGATGTCTTCCATCTGCCTCGCTCTGCGCAGCTGGATTCGCAGCTCAGAAGCTCTCTCGAAGCTGGAGCGGTCGGTAATTGAGTACACGATGAGGTACGCGTCTCCCACCTGCATGCACTGTTCCTGACTCCAGCTGCCCCTGTCCTGCAGAAGCACAGCACAGACGTTCAGAAACAGCAAGACTCCGAGCGATCCGGCACAGAAAACATGGATTTAATGGCTCGTTTTTAAAGTTTTAAAATGGCCAAAACTGAAGCTTTCGCTTTCGCATACTACTCTTGTAAAAACGATACAAAGGAAAATAACTCATTTATGCATGATAAAATAGACGGTATATAAAATGGGCAAGATGCAAATAACAATGCTTAAAAAAAACACCTGCACATCACACAGTGAAAATAGCATGGGTAGGATATATCGTATTTTATGTTATATGCTATGCTTTATTATCTTACCTGAGTGTCCCAGGTGTCCAATAAAATGATTGTCGCACATTCGCCGTCCACTGTCAGCGTTTGTTCATATGTGTCTTCTATAAATAACAAAAAGACGTTAAGACGGTTTACGTGGGTCCGTGCATTCAAGTTATACGAATAAAGTTGTAAAATATTTAATCTCCTTCACACAAAAAAATATGTCAAAAATAAAATAATTGGGTGTTGTTCACATATAAGATCGACTGGCTTGTTTAAAACGAACGTGAATAATTTAATAACCCCGCACCCGTTTAAAGATACAAGCCCCATAGCACGGGAAAACAACGCTGATAAAAACAATGACCTCCGCTCAGGTCGCAGTCGCTGTCCATGCTGTCCTGGGCGCCCGTGAAAATGCCGGCGAGCGCCGACTTCCCGACTCCGTCCTCGCCGATGAGCACCACTCTGAACAGGCTGGCGCAGGAGTCGGTGGAGATGACCGAGTCCGAGGAGTCCGACGACCAGCTGCCCCTGCACGACTCGCCGGCGCTGGTGTAGGACTTGGAGCGGCAGACGCCGGATTGAAGCGCCGAGCTCTTGCTGAGGAGATGCTTGCCGTCGGTGGAGATACTCCAGCGGTGCTGCTGGGGCTGCAGACAGCCACTGCTGTGTCTCATGGTTACGTGAAGGGTCATCTTTCTGAAGCACGGGGGGAAAGCAACGGAATTACAAAAATATGGAAGAAAAGAGTTTCTTAATGCATTTTTTCCCGTAAAAAAAAAGATGTAATGTCTTTGAAAAAATAACACTCCACATTGTTGATCACTGAATTTACCTTCTACAGCCATGTCATCTCTTTGCGACTTTAAATCTTAAAAACAAGGAGACGTGCACGCACCCCTCAGAAGCCTTGATTTTTATTAATTAAAAATTTATCAAAATTACTCACTGTTAGAGAATAACAATAAGAATGTCTATAACACAAAAAGTAACCATGATCGCTGCAATAACTCATAAGATTCCTAGATTTAATACGGTTTCAAAAACGTATAATTAAAACTGTGTCTAAGCTGTAAGATTTCCCAAATACAAAGTTCTTTAAGCATCTAAACCCGGTAATTAACTCGAAGATGCAATACAAAGTACTGGAACAAAACATGCAGAATAGAATAATAATTGCATTGTAGTTTCCTTTACTTTTTTACCCCAAAATAAAAACATATCTTACATTATCCAGTTAGGAGCAGCGCAAACTCCAGAACCACTTGATTGTTCGACGGTGTTTCTGCCTGGGTTTCGTGATCTGTGCGCTGGGCTGTAAATCCCAGTAGATTCTCTGCTTCCCACTAATGTGCTTTCAGCTCTTTGGGTTTATATATAGTAGTAGGGGTCAAAGACGAGGGCTTTTCCGTGACGTCATTCTCCCTTCGCTTACCAGCCAGACAACAGTGAAACAAAGACGGAGAGGGTTTCCTCTAGTCTTGTGGATGAACTTGGAATTTCGCCTAGAACATACTGTTGCTGTTACTTGAAAGGGTGGCTACGATACGACAAACGTCTATCGCTCGAAAGCACGACGACATTCCATTATCTATGGAATTTTTTTTTAGATTCACATTCGGATTGGCCCAAATAAATATCCATTCCCAGTGCTTGTCGCTGTAGGCCATACATAAATCCGAGCTAGAATACCACTGACAAAACACTCATTTTCATGCAGAAATAGAAGTAGCTTTAGTGCTAATAAGCTGTAAGACAATCTTATAGAGTTTGTCACATATGTGTCACAGGATGAAGAACAGGACAATATTTCCTAACACTGAGCCATAATATCACATCACCAGATTTATTTACTCAACTCCAGTACCTGGAAACAGGACAGTTAGGATTTGGAAGTTCAAGGCAAAAGATCCCAGGATAAAGTATGAGATGCAATTTACGACTAAATAACCGCATGTGTTATTGACAGGTTTAGGCAATTATACGGTCCTAACCATTCATCCATCCATCTGTTTCTACCTCTTCAATCCAGAGTCACTAGAAAATGTATTAACTGCTGGACTATTCGTTTCTAACGTGTAATTCCACAGCCCCTAAACTAAAGTGTGACCAAATTAATTATATACTGACTTAACTTCTCTTAAGTTATGCACGCCATGTTAATGTAGCACTCTCGGGGTTAACGTGGGTATGCGCCCTCGCCGCTGCCGCCTCGGGTCAGCCCCCCACCGCTGGGGACTCGAACCCGGGCCGCCGGCATGACTCAACAGGGACCCAGGCAGTTGAGCCAAAGGGAAATCTCCCCTCAGCCCGACAGCTGCGGTCCCTGCTTTTCACAGGGAAGGGTGGTAACGTCACCGCGCTGGTAAGCCGGTCTCGCACGACCTGCAATGTCGGCCGTATGCGTTACACTAACTTAACTACCACCCAGCCATCCATCCCACTTCGGATCGCTTTATCCAAGACAGGGTCGTAGGGGGAGTCAGCGCCTATCCCAGAAGCATCCGGGAAAGCACAAGGCAAACAGTGGTGGTCGTGGGAGATTCTATTCTCCTACAGTGCAGAAACACTGCAAGAGAGATACGTACCTTACATGTACAGGAGCTGGGGACTCTGAAGGAGCAAGGGACTATACCCTGTGATTATCTTCGTCCAACGAGCAGACAGAACGAGCAGGTGCAGACCCAGTGACTGCAGCTCCTGGGGAGGATGTTGAAAAATGTACCTATCAAAGTAAACGTAAGCATTTAGGTTGACACATTGCTTTCCATTAGCCAGTGTGCGGAAGCAATACAAAGGACGTACAGAAGACACATAGGGTATATAGTTCAATCAAGGAATGCCATGTTAAAATGGAACAATTAGCAAGACCTTGTACGAAGATCTTGTACAAGTTTGGCCACCGTGTTTTAAAAAAGCCATTGCTTATGTGGAATCAGTCTGAAGTACAGATCTACAGTATCTTACACTCACAAGCTGAAAGAACTGAATATATTTTGTGTCAAATTTATTTTGTGAGAGAAGTCCATCAGGCTTTATTTCTATTTATACGAACATTTCTTGTATTGTTGGTAGAGACAAATAATAGTTGTATGTAAGGTTTTGTCAATGCATTTTTTTGGTAAAATGTGATCATGTTTATCATATTGGTTTTATTTTTAGTTTGCCTTTTTTAAATATAACTTGGTAAAGGTGTGACTTCAGTTACCCCGAGTCTCTTTTTTCAAACACAAGGATGGCAAGAGAAAAATGTCTTCGTCTTTATCATTTTTAAAAATACACAATGTGCCTGAAATTACATTTTAAAAATGACTAAATGATTTAGAATATATTTCTTTTGATGTATTTTACTTTTGTTGTCCCATAATGACATAATGTTTTAAGATTTTGCATTTAGCCAGTGTGCCAATTACTTAATCACAAATACCTCACTGCAAAGGGGTTGGTCATCTTTGGCTATTTCTGTCTGGAACCATAATCAAGAGATCACTCTAGAGTAAGCTGGTTATATTAAGGTCCTTAAATGTTAATTAAGGTGATTAGTTTGAGATTGAGTTGAATAAGACATGTATTAAAAGACTTTCTAAATAGATGATACATTAAGCTATTTCCACTAGCGGGTAGGTCACTTTGGGTTATGCTGAATCTGGTCCAAAAAACATCTTAACCTGGAGGTCAGTTCATTATTTTGTTAACAGTTGCATGCTGTCAAACGGGGAGAAATGTTTAGATTAAGAACAATGAATTGTGTTTCAACAGTATTCATGACAGTTCTCTTTTAAATTATCTAGTATGTTTTGAAACAACAGATCTAGTGTTTTTTACCTCCATCTTGCTGAAAAGCAGTTTTTGAAATTATTTTTTGGGAATTTGTCAGCTGTCACTGTACATTTTGGGGTTGAAGGTACAAGGATAAACTCTGAAGTGTCTGCATGGCTGAAACTATACTCGTGACAAAACATACAGATGTCATCCAGAAATGGAAGACTTTTCTGAATAATGTGCATTAAAATAAAAACAAATATGAAAGGAAATATGAAAGGAATGAAAGTAAAATTAACAACTCACCACTGGCTACTACATAGACTGACAGATCATCGTTTACGTTGCTTTATTAACATTCATTTAAGCTGCTAGTGTAAGTGGCTTTTCATTGGAAAACATGACCAGCAATGAATTATTGAAAATGGAATATGGGATATCATAGATTAAATGAGAGTAATACCCAGCCGAATCATTTATTGTATCCTAACAAACAGCCACACCCAGGGGAGAGCTCATCGATTGCTGTGGACAAATGAACTGCAATTAACACTTGCCTCTCTTTGAAGCTTCTTAGCGAAAGGTGATACAAGTTAAAAAAGCGAATGCATTTTTCAAACGCTGTCAAGAGAAAATAAAATCCATGCATGCTGTCAGAATGCATTCAGCACCTCGTGTGGCACAAGCTTCAGCCTATTTCCTGGCACTGATAAATCAGATTAAACCGGCGGAGACTTTTAAAATAGGCCATGGCTGGAGGCCACAGCTGAAATAAGAGACAATTCGAATATGAGGAAACCTATAAGCTACCGTAGCACCAAGGTGGAGGTATGGAAAAGGTGCTGTGCTTCAGAAAGGAAATTGTAACCAGTGCTTCCATTAAAAAAAAAAAAAAATACAGGTTTAGTTTAACTACAAAAACCAATGCAAAATTATAAAAAAACACCTTTTTTTCCTAGTGGGGAACAAGACAGTGAAAAAATTCACATAATTTCAAGCTCATCTCAGTTATTCCCCACCTTAAATTTGAATTTTGTGTAGCATGCGAGCCTTAGCCAAGTGTCTGCCCAGCGTGGATCGTATCCCCAGAATCAACACTACAGTCTCTGAATGAAATACACCATGTACTGCATACATACTGTACACTACACCAACTGCTGCCAACCAGCTGTTATGATACTAGATTTTATAATAAATATTTTCCTGTACTTAATCGGTTTTTGAAATTGCAGCCCTAAAACTACTACAGTATGTTCCTGCAGCACAGTGAAAGGAGATCTGTGAAATGACAGGTGATGTCTCAACTCCGCAGACTATCGATTTGCGGTTATCTTATTTCAGTCACTTTTACAGTGGTGCTCTCCCCCAGAGAAAATATATCAAGGTTTCCATTAGGCTACCATTCTCCACAATGGACAGTAAATTCAGGTGCAGTCAGAGAAGTTGAAGACCTTGGCAATTAAATAGGATTGTGTCAGTAGGACCACGATGGGAATCTATGAGTCTTTAAGTAGGTCTAAGGATGGGGGTTGTGTAGGTTTTCTTCCTTACTGTTAAGTGGATTGTTATTGTTAATTGTGGAAATTGAAACTGAAGAATCACTTTTGGCATCTTCGGTACTATTTTATATGCATAAACATGTTATATACTACAACAACCGGGACCTGAACTGTTATAGCGTGTAAGCCCTGTAACATCATATTTTAACAAAAAAGACAAATGAACCCAAATGTTTATTTGCCATTGAAATATCTGTGAAAAAACATATTTAAATGGTTTTAACAAGTCTCTGGAGAGCCATATTTGAAAGATATTACAGATGGCTGCTTTCTATTAGATAATATTCTATCATATTTTTTACCCGTTAGAGATACAGTAGGCACTCACAGAGGTGACCCATCCTGAGGCTCAGTCTTTTAGACGAATGTGTTAAGCATTTGACACATTTGTTTAGAAGTGGTATTTTAATAGACAGGCCAGCTCTTTTTATGTACCAAAACCAATATCACAATGTGTTGCTAGCGAAAGTCTGAAAGAAGAACTTCAATTGAAAAATCACACTTTTGTTCCACCAATGGTCTCAGTTGTGAGCATTACTGTAGAGCTTTTTCTACGATTTGGATGAGCAATTATTATAGTACCAGTTTATTTCCCTTCAAATGGGAAATAAAGTCTTGCTTCATTACAGTGTTTTTCCCACTACACAACAAACATGACAAACAGACATGCTTTCAGTTAACAAAACAAACAAAACAAAACAAAAATAATTTTCCCCTTCTATGTGAGGACCCGAGCAGTCTGCTAAAGTGGTATTGCAGAACATGAGACACAGAGTAGTTCTAGATATAGAGTAATGCATTTGGCTGGTTTATGTTTTCTGTGTGGCCTTTAAGCCTTATTTTGCTTTCAAGATGGCTTAGCTAGAGACAAAGAGATCTAAATATAATTTTATCCAAAGCTCTGAATAATTCTTTTTAAGCTTAGTTCATACTGACTTAATGCAAAAGAACTATATAAATCCATCAGTGTAATGGATAGGTTTTGCCACTTTACTGGAATCCAGAGAAACAATTGAAATCTGCACTTTGCCTTGTAG